AATGAAAGCAGTATCTCCCATCTAGAATCCCTTTTCTGGGCCAAGAGGAAGTGGTATGCCATCTAAACAGTCCATTCTTCTTTTGAGAGAGTGGGTGCATGGAGGAGGGATAAGGGTAAGGCTGTCATCTTAGGAAAGTGATAGATGTCGTTACCAATGGTAACTAGAATTTGCTTGCCTGTCTGTTCATTATCTCCTAATACAAGAGCTCCCTCTGCAGGCTCCAACAACCCTCAGCTGTTGCGTGGGAAGCTATGTCCAGCTATGCAGGAACCTATTGTAATTTCCTTTTTTTGTGAATGTTGCTCTATCCAATGACAATAAACCACATATCTGAAAATATCACAAGTTAACACACTTCCTAGGTACCTATGGTGCTGCCTTATGACAAAATCATAAGGCAAGTGGCTGAGTAGACCTCCCCACAATCCTCTTGCTCACATTCACCAGGTGTGGTGGCTAACATGGACACATGGCCCATGGAACAACAAAAGATCATTTTCAAAGACCCCACCATAGTGGAGAGACACTGCTTCGGTGGATTCTCAGATCATTAAGTGCCTAATGTTCCCATCTATCAAAATATGGTACTTATACACTGAGGAACAACCCTCATGTCATGTTACAGACCAATTCTAACATCTGCAGAATGTTAAAACTTGATTTAGAGTCTATTAGATTATTTTCCCATAGTTTGAAAGATACAAAATATTATTTAGATAGGTGAAACATAGCTATGTGTCAACAATTATGTGGATAAGTATGGACAGTTTGTTTTAGGTGAACACTGAAACACCACAGATGACATAGACACACCTTGAAATTCACTGGCTGAGGCTGCAGGACAGAAAGAACAGCAAGGTATCTACAAGGTCAGCTGTCCTATCGCAGTTGGCCTTCAGACACTCCTAAAGGTTGCGGGTTGGGGGAACTGAATAAGGGAGACTATGAAGGAGAAAATGAATAGCAACACTGAGCATGGACAAGGCTGATCTGAGCTAAACTAGAGACTTATTTTAACTGTTTTTCTCACTTGCTTTCCCGTGTGTGTGTGTGTGTGTGTGTGTGTGTGTGTGTGTGTGTGTATTAGTATGATTAATACTAGTTGAGGGGAGGTTTTAGCTTACATTCTCACAAGAAAAATATCATGAATTAAATAGTAAAGTATCAAATTTTTTCTTAAAACATACTACTTTGTTAAAAAAAAATCTTGCCTTCTCTCTATATCCCTGTATTTAAAAAATATGTAACATTTGGTACAGCCAGATAATATACACAACACATGTAAATTCTACTAATGATGTTGAATCTACCTGTGTGCTCCTCCCCTTTGCCCATGTTTAATATCTTTAAAATCATGAATTATTATTAAGGAGGTCTATTACAGCAACATTTTCTCATGTTTACTGGAGAGACTTTTGCTGGATATTGTTTATGGATTTTTAATGATAGTATTAAAACATTTTATTATGAAAATTCTTACGCATGTACAAAAGTGGAAAGACTAGTGAAATGAACTGTCATTTACTTATCACACTTTCTTGACAATTATCTACTCATAGTTGATCTTGTTTTAGCTGTATTCTCCACTCCTCCCCTCACTGCATTATCTAAGGGAAAGGTCTTGGGAGATAGTTCAAAGCCCAACCCTGGTTCTTTTATTTCTTTATTCAGGCATATTTTATGCATTATAGAATTCATCCTATTCATACATCACCTATATAAAGCTTTAGTATTTGCCGCTCAAATGCAAGCACTCTTTCTAAAAACTTGACTGCAATACAGTTATTAAACCTAAAAAAAATTAACAACTCTTTAATATAGCAAATATCCAGCATTCAAATCTTCGAGCTTGTCTCATCGATTTGCTACAATTCGTTTGTTTGGACTGAGATCCAAATCATGCCCACACATTGCATTTGATTGAGATAGCTCTTAACTCTCTTTTAATCAAAGTTGACTTGTGCCTTGTTTTTAGCTCGCAGTTTGTGAATGTGCTATTTGTCCTTGAGAATTTGTTGATGATATCCTCATGGTGCTGTGTTTTGTGTTTCTCCATCTTTCATCTATTATTGTAAGCTGGTAGATCTTGAGATGTGTTTACATCCAGGTTCGGTTTTTTCTTGGCCAGAACATTAGTAGGTAGGGTGGTGCATTCTCTACTGCAGCACAGCAGGAAGCACATGGTGTCTGGATTTATCCTACCTAACCTCTCATCTTATCATGGAAGGGAACAGGTGAACAGAAATGAAAGAGAGGAAGCCATCAAATCTGGGATGGGTTGGGGTGACTGGGCAAAGAAGAGTATTATTTCTGATAAAACATTCAATGATTTGGGGTAAAATTTATCTAACTATGCTTACTTGTTTTGTTGAAGGGTGTCAAAATGTTTGAAAGAGATAAGACATCTCCCTTTTAAGATGTAGAAAACTGTATGAATCAGTCAGGTGTAGTGGAGAACTTCGGGCAGTGAACTTACACTCCCTTTGAAGGTACTTCAGAGGTACTCAAGAAAAGAGTGATAATAGAAATGTAAGTACTAGAGGGTTTTCATGTTCTCTACTTGGAGCTCTTGATGTTGGAGTGATCCTTTCAGCTGGCAGGAACTTGGGGACATTCAAAGATGGGAGTCAGTAGGAGAGAGGTGTTAAAGAGATAATTAGCACCTGTAGCCTTAAAAGCAGCTGACTACTGAGTGGAAGAGATGGAGACAGTATAGTAAAAGTGGCCTGTAAGCAAAAGAGAGATACATAATTATGAAAGTAAACATTAAAAAAATTAAGTCTGTAATAAAGTACAATTTAAAAATTTCCCCCGTCCTTTTAAGGCCTTGTGTTATCTAGAAGTATTTTAGAGTTTATAAGTAGAAAGTAAATTAAAAGATGGACTGTTTTTCTAGAAAAATGACTTCAACATTTCTTATAATTTATGGTTTTTGCACTGTTGAAAGCTAGAAGCTGTTTAGCTGGTAACAGGATATGGGCAAAACAGGATCTAAGGGAAAGGTCTTGGGAGATAGTTCAAAGCCCAACCCTGGTTCTTTTATTTCTTTATTCAGGCATATTTTATGCATTATAGAATTCATCCTATTTAACTATACAATTCAATGATTTTTTTTTTTTTTTTTT